CAAGGTATTATTGCAGGTAACTCCAAGAATTTAACTTTTATTCAATTCAACCATAACTGAAATAATTACATAAAATATATACTGAAGGTTTTGCACAAATAAAATGTGTATTCTGCATTTCAAACTCCTGATGTAGGAATTCCTAATTATAGATTTATGTGTGTGAGATCAGCAGGAAAGGCTCTGTGTTTTTGCAGTAATCTTGTATTAGCCATGTACCAAGCAGGAGAGCAAACAGTTATATCAATAGGTCTGAGAAGTGATTTGATGCTTGGAGCTAAACCAAGCTGAACATTCAGGTAGCTGTGTGTGTTACATCAAATCAAAAGGGTAACAGTAGCTGCAAATGCAGCAAAGATGTATTTGCCAATGAAAGACGAAATACTACTCAAGAGAAAAATTGCACAATATTATATATGTGTTTGTATATTGCATATAAGAGCACCTATGGCAACTGACTTTGGGGGCTCAGTTTCTGATATGTATCAGGCTGGTTTATAACCATTAGCAGGCTACAATTTTCACATGAGTTGTAATAGCCAAAAAAGAGAGCCTGAAGTTACATGGTGCTGAGCTAAATGTGTTTGTAGAATATAATAGTGAGAGCTGGCAGAAAAAAAGAAACAGCTTCCAGGAAACATCATTGATCAAGCCTCCAGTCCTTACTAAGTCTGGTTCTGAAATGTTTTACATGCATCTGTCCATTTGATAATCTCTGCCATAATGGGTTTCATGCCTTAGGGATGATGAAGGAAGAATAGATCTTAATCCCCCTGGAAAGTGAAGGCTATTAGAAGTTAATTATAACCTCATTTTTGTAGCAATACGAATGGGACTTTATAACCTTAATGACCACAGGTATGAGTTCTTGTACAATTTGTGACTGCAATTATTCCCAAATCTCATAGGATTAATATTCCATTTGATAATGTGTTACAGGAACTTTTCTTTTTCCTCTGGACTGTGTCAGCAGTTAACCTGAAGGTGGACAGGAGATTTTGATTTAAAAAAAAAAAAAAAAAAAAAAAAAATCAGCCTTTTAGCATGTCTACATTTAGGCAATTTTTAATGGTAAAACCAGGCTACCCACTCCTGCTGTTTCAGGAGGGCAAACCTTCCTCCTCCATGTACTGCATGCTTTATGTCCATCTTGTGATCAGGGGCTTTTCATAGAAAGGCCTGTTCATTCTGTGCCATCCCACTTCATTTTTCCTACAGCATAATGGTCTTTGGGCCTCCTGGGGAAAAAAATATTTCAGTAGTGCTGGTGATGGGAAACAGGGTAGTTACAAAAAACCAAAGAAGGTGCCTACACTTTAAATTTCTTGCTGTTTCTATGTAATTATATTAGCTTTTTCACAATAACTATTGCTTCAGATATTCATACTGTAATGTAATCATGTAATTAACCTACTGTGCCTTTGGACCATTGTAGTCAGAAAGCACTGGCAGGTTTTGAACTGGAAGCATCCTGGTTGGATTATGTTCTGCCACCATGTTGTATATTGTCTGTTAGCAGTCTGTATTATTATGTATACTTTTTGGGCACTCTGCCCATCTGTAAAAATCAGCAGAATAGAGTTATTTTAGTCAAACTAATTCCCAACTAGTGATTTACTTTCTATTCCTCCATCTTGTTTCTGTAAACCAGTGCCACATCCCAAGCAGAGTATGAAGTGTTCGCAGCAGTGTACAATGACTCTTGCAGGAAAAAAGAGCTGTAAACTGTGGCAAATCTACTTCAGATTATCAGCACTGGAGGTAAGGTCATGGGGCCTGGCAAATAGGGACGAGCTGAAACCAAGCAGAGACTTCTCCCTGAGGTGCCAGGAAGTGAATGAGAGAGACTGTGGAGAAAGAGGGAGTGACTGTGTTAAACCTCCATAGGGGGTGAGAGAGACTGCCAAACATGGAATAATGAGCTGCAGCCATGAATATGTGCAGAGTGTGCCCAAGGCAAGCAACAGCTGGGCATGGGAACACCTTTGCAGAGCAGAGGAGACCTGTTGCTTGCTAGAAGCCTGTCACCTCCAGTACTCTTGGTGGGGAGTCAATCCTGCCCAGGAGAACAAGGGAGTGTCAGAGGTCCTTTGACTGGGATAAAGCAAACCCACATCCCAGGGACCTTCTGAGTTGAAGGTCTGTCTTCATAGCCCTAGTAGCTTGTTTTCTATGAGCTTACCCAGCTACTTTTCAGGAGCATTTAAACTCTTCATGATCAGTGATTCTTCTAGCATAATTTCACACAGAACTGTGGTGCCTGGTTTTCTTCAAATCCACTGTTCTCAAGAGTAGGAAATAATGAACAGCTATTCCCTGTTCAATATCAGTCATGATCTTCTATGCCTTTGTCACCCATTCCCTGCCACTGTCTTTTGTCCAAGCCGAAGATCACAAATTTGCTTCTCCTTTCTTAATCAAAAAATAATTCTAGAGTTCTTTTTTTCAGCTCTGCTGTGTATGTCTCATACTGCTTCAACAGCTTCTCTTGAGCTTTCTTTCTGCCACCTGGGGAGTACCAGATGTTCACTCCATACAAGTGGTTGGCTCCAGAATCCCTGTAGTGTAGACAGAGCTTTGAGGATGAAGAAAAAGTTGTTCCAAATGTTGCTTTCATGCAAAGAGGGGTCACACATGCTACACAAGGAGTGAAGAGACTGCAAATTGTTGCATGGTCAAGTAGTAAGGCAGCAAACAAGTTACTTTCATTACTATGCTTGTGCATCTTGTTGGCAGGGGAAGGGAAGTGATTCTGAGAGTATCTGAAACAGAGATACTACTCACCATGCAGGTAGGGGTTTTTTTTGGTTGTTTTTGGTTTTTGGTTTTTTTGGTTTTTTTTTTTTTTTTTTTTTTTTTTTTTTGGGAGGATATTAATTTGAGGATTTTTTTTGTTTTTTTTTTTTTTTTTTTTGGTTTTTTTTTCTTTTTTGGGAGGATATTAATTTGAGGATTAAATAGAAGATGTTCCTTTTCAAACTAATATTGGTAAATCAAATAAACAAGTCTTTCTGCTATTTTCCAAGAAATGGGGAAAGCTGCAACTAAAATAGACATAACTGAGAAAATAATATTTTTATTGTCTGTCTATTATTCATGGACAAGTCTTTTCCTCATCTGTACTTATTTTTTAATTTTCTATCAAAATGATCAATATTCTTAAAGTTGGTTCAGACCTTGCAAATTTTCCCAGAGATCTGATTATTGTGCCTTACTCTCTTATGTCAATTATTATTGTGCCATACTCTTACCATATAGGAAGGGAGGTCCTTCTCCCTAGTGTAGTACAAGTTTAGTCTCTGTGGCTGTTCTTAGAAAAGCAGTTGTATTTGTGCCTTGTGTCGACTGGGCAGCCCCACATATTCACCTTGCTCCAGAGGGAAATACAGTCAAAAAGATACAACTTGTAACTAACCAGAGCAATCTCACAGGTGTGTGAACTCCTTCTCAGCTGAAGCCACAGAGGTCACCAGCTGTCTGCATACCAGAATTTAAACAGACTCACCAGAATGACCAGGACACGTGCTAAGGGATAACCCTATGGGTAGACAACATACTTGTGAAGGAACATGTTCCTCTTGATGATGACACACTTATTACCCACCTGCAAACCCACAAAAGCAGCATTACAAGCAGGACTTAAGACAGGGGTGATTCATAGGGAAATGCAATTGTTTGTAGGAACAAGACACCTTGCCACAAAAAGAATTGTATAACACTCAGTCTTGTCTTGAGAGAAATCCAAATACAAGTGGATGTTCTCATTAATTTGCCTTGGGCTATATTACCTTCCCCAGGAGAAGAAGAGAATAGTAATTGGGAAAACAACAAAAAAGATACTGAATACTAAATGCAGACTCTTCATTCATTCCTCTGCACTGGGCAATGATTTCTTCCTCTCTTGCTCAGATCCTCGTCATGTCCATAGCTCAATGTCCTGCCCTGGGGACAGAGCTGAGAGGCAGAAGGAGCAGAGGCATTGTACACAGAGAGGGTGAGGCACCCACAGTTCAGTGCAGTTTCCATTTTTCTAATGCAGGTTTCCTCTTTCAGCTCTCTGGTCGTTAACATCTTAATAGGTAAGGACATTGTGTAGCCATAACTCTGTTTTCTCGTGGTCATAATTTAATTACATGGAGACAGGAGAAAAGTTATTTTTAAAATGCTGTTTAAGTTATTTGTTCAGTCATTTCTTTCAAACAAAAGCATCTCCTTTGCTTATAACTCCCTTGATTATTGAGAAATGTAGTGCTCATTACAGATGCCCAAGGCTGTAGGTTGAAGATTGTGTGCCGTGTAGGGTGGTATAGGGTTATGGCGTTCCCTCAGCCCAGATGCGGAAGAACTGAGCATCTGAAATGCTGAAGTCCACACTTGCAATCTGGCTCGGGGCCAGCCGGCTCGGGCAGACCACACTCATCCTGTTGGACCTTTGGCACTGAGGCCGATGCTGTCATTCACGCACTGAGCTGCGCCGGCTTTGTGCCTGTCAACCCCGAGGCTGGCTGGGATCTGCGTGCTTTCTGGCGAGCCTGGTACCCATTCCTGGAGCACGGACAGCAACTGACAGACCTGGGTGGCTCATGAATTGCTGTGGGAAGAAGGGGAGGACAGTGTTCAGCTTTCACGTAACACTCTTTTACAGTGCTCAGAGGTGAGTGCCGGAGAACGGGACTGAGTGACCGCCAGTGGCTCCTGCGAGCCCTAACCTCCGTTTCGCAGTGCCGGGAGGTGGCTGTGTGGCAGATGGACCTTTCTGGCTCTCCCCTCGAAGCTCCTCTCCTCAGGCTGCGCACAGACACCCAACATTCCCGTGAGCAGAGGGAATGCCTCCCTGCACTGGCACCTCAGCGTCCCACAGCGACTTTGCCCAGTGTCACGCCACGGGGTGAAATCGGGCACTTCTGTGGCCCGAGTTCCGCGGGGCGGAGGGGGAAGCGGAGCCCGCGCAGCCCCGGCCCGCCCCCGCCCGGCCCCTGCGGCCGCCCGCGGCCAAGTGCGCGGGGGCGGAGCGGCGGCGCCGGCCCGAGGAGCCGCAGAGAGAGCTGGCCCGGCGGCCCGCGGGGATGCTGCGCTACAGCTCGGGGCTCACGGTGACCGCCACCACCCCCCGGAGACCCCCTGGCGACGGCGGCCGCTCCCGGCGGAAGGTGCGCGGGGCAGCGCGGGGGGCGGTGGGGAGGTCCCGCGGGCGGGGTCGCGGGGCGAAGCGGAGGTTCGACATCCCCCCTCGTGCAGTTACCTGCGGAGCGCCTTTCTCTTTCTACCCCCCCACCCCCTCCCCCTTTTCCTTATTTTCGGTGTTTTCAGGTGAAGCTTGGGGTGTGCGAGAGCATCTTTTCGTGCGTTGTTTGTAGGTGTGGGGAAGAGTTTTTGGGGAGTCCTGCAAGGCTTTTGTAGTTCTAAACCCTGACGTGTTCTGTAAACCTGCGAGGAAGGTGTACTTGTGTTGAAGACTTCCCTCACATCATTGAAATGTGCCTGGATATTTACAATGCGAGCTCGCCTATCCTGTCCTGAGAAAGCTCACTGTAATGATTTAGATGGCAATAGTAATTTAGCTATTTAATCAGTTCCTCAAACGCAGATATGTAATTTGCTAATTTTAAAAAAATCATAAATGCACTAAATAATAACTACCTCTTAAATCTGTTTGGCTTCTAAAAAGTTGTTAAAACTGAGGCAGATATGATAGGAATGTCTCTACAGCCACTCAGCTTTAAATAGCCCTTTTCTTGCTTTTGTAACTACACTGCTGTCATTGTGAATGTTGATTCCACATGAGAAGAAAGAAATAAAAAAAAGTGATAATCATATTGTTACCAAAAATACATCCATGCGACCATGATGTTTCTTGAATTATGCAGTTACTGTTTTGATGATGCAAAAATATGAGTTCATAATCTAAAAAATGAAGAATATTGTGTAGTTCTGGTTTTACATAATAGTAAGAAAATCAGAGTGGTCTTCCTGACAAAAAGATCCCTAGTCTTCAAAAACATGAAATTGCTCATGCATAAGAAAAATTATGGTGACTTGAAAATCATAGTTATGTTCCCTGTACATCTTCTGTTTTCCAATTGAGTTTCTCTGTTCTATATTTCTTAAATAAGTTACAGTAAGGGAACTTCTGTTCAGGTGATAAGCTTCTTATTTTAATCCTCTTGATAGATTTCTTGGGAATGATGAACTGCATTTGATACATTATTTTAAGAAAACTGGTAGGAATTTAATTTGTGACTGCAACCGACTGGGAAGCCGTTGTCCCTTTTTTTAGTGAAGTGTGGCTGCCTTACCATGAGTTGTTAGAAAAGGAGCGAGAGACAATTAGAATAACTGCTGAATAAAAGGAAGATGTGTGTCACATTCCTGTGTGCCTGTGGTCACAAGAAAGTGCCGTTTAATTGTGTGTGGAACCTCAGGGGAGAGATTTCATAAATGGAGCAGGCTAATCAACAGATAAATGACCAAAGAAAGTACTTCTTTGCTTTTTAGGACTGAAATTAAACATGCACTGTTTGTCTGCTTTCACCTTCAAAGGTCTAGAGCCAACACTTGACCTTAGTTAAAGGGAAGGATTTTTAGCTATTGAGCTGATAAGGTAGTAGGCAGTTATTCTACAAACATGTTAGCCCCATTTCTTTTGTCAGTATCAACAGTATTAAATTCTGGTGATGTAGAACTCCAGGGCTGGTTTCAAGGTAGATCAATATTGAACCACATCTTTTTTCTGTGGGGGTCCTGTAAAATGCTTAGAGACTGGTTTCTAGTAGAATAGTCTGTATTTTTCTGTTGCTGTGCTGGTAACTTTGGTTATTCTATAACAGCATTGCTCGCTAATTTAACAATTAATTTTAATGAAAAAATCTGTAATTATTTCAGCCCATAGTTAATGCTGAATAATGCCTTTCTGGGTGCTTTGCTTTTTGGAAAGGGAAAAGAAGGGGCTGAAGAACATTACTTAAACTGAATCTGTCATCTGTATTTGTTGTAAGTTGCACCCTAGTGATTTGAGTAGGATGGTAAACATACATGTGGATTGTGGACCTGGGCCATGGATTCTCAACATTTTTAACTAAACTAGATTTTTTTTTTTTTCCTAACTGCCATATTACAATACCTCTCCTCTATGCTGTCCCAATAGCCTCTTAGAAATTTGGTAAAAAAATATGTTTTCACCTGTTACTTTTCATTGCAATCAGGAAGCTTCTGCGGTCTGGTGTTGTGTTGGGGTGAACCTGTCCAGTCTTTGTTTTCCTGTCTGTGTCTTCATTTCACAAATGATGTCAGATGAGCTTTGGAAATGCCACTCATGGGTTGTTGGTGTCAAAAAGTCAGGAATGAACATAAAATGTTGGCACAATTATGATGATTTATAATGTTGGCTTGCCAAAGCTGCAGATACTGCAAATTAAACAAAAGTCAGACAGTCTTGTAGGATTGTTAGAAAGATACCTCATTCTTCTTCTACCCAGTATTTCTTTTTAAAACTTATGTTCACAAAGTTACAATGTTAGTGACATGAAGGTAAGGTGGGAGTCATGTCTGTCCCTGTTTTCTCTCACTTGTTCTTACTGTCAGTAAGCAGATGAAGGAAATTGAATTGCAGCTCTTTCTCTGTTGGAGTAGTTCTCATTCTCCTCCCCATTTTCTTTCTGAATTACCCAGTTTGTTTCTGGAAATTACATTTTCATCCTCAGTTGCATGTTATCCTGCCACTGTTTGGCACTGAGTTAAGGCTCTTCCTGTTAGGATTTCATTTCCATTTTAAGGCATCACTACAGCAGTGTTTGCTGTGGGAGGAGGGCTTGCTGTGATTTCCATGTGAGCCTGCTCATTGATTTGGTCAGTAAAATCACCGACAAATGGCACAGTGTGTTGTTCCTTCAGGAAACCCTGCAGAGCAGGAACAGTGCATGTACAGTGTTCAGAACTGCTTCTAGGGGCTGGAGGAAAAAGCAGTGCCTGTTGTTTTTCCTTTCTAGTCTCCATAGTGTTTTTGAATTTTAGCAGATGTGTCTGTAGTGCCGTCCTTAGGTAGAATGCATCATCTGATGCCTAGGAGGAGCTGGACTGCATGGCGACTTTATACATTTGCTGCTGTTTCCCCAGGGATGCTGAGGAAGTCCCATTGTTGTAAACAATGGCAGAGTACAGCCTGTGTAAGTTTGTTCTAGCAAGGAACTGGGTGGTACTGTGCCACTGCTGTACAAGCCTTGCTGGGCACAATTTTAAGGCTGGAATCCTTATGATTGCCAGTTGGGATGGGGTGGGGTAAGTGATTTGGGGGTAACAGATAAGGCAAGGTGAAAAGGGCAAGAAAAAACAGCTTAACCATGACAACCTTTTGTTGTACAGTGGTTTTAGTCTCAACAAATGACTGTTGTTAATTTATATTTCCCGTGTAGTTGTGATGACTTGACTACTATCTGTACTGGACTTGCGTGGTTTCCTTCATAGTAGTCCTGTGACACCTGTGATGTGAAAGGCAGTTGTGTTCACTCACTGGTGTACAGGTACAGGGATAATTACTTATTTACAATCATTGCATTCTGAATCTCTGTTGGCTATAATTAGCCTCGTACTGATTAATAGGCAAGTTATTTGCTTCAGAGGTTCATACACAACCTCATTCTTTTAACTTTGAGTTGCCAGTCATTATCTATTTCTAGTTATTTCAGGCATTTTTCATGTTTTATCCTAGCAATATGTTCATTCCTTTTTGTCCAGTTGTCCTTTGTTCAAAATCACTGCAAGAAAAAGGTGGCCTCATCTATCACTTCCTGCACAGCACAAACTCACTTCTATTTCCTATTTATGGCTCTGGGCTTTGTTTGCCTCCATGGAGGAATGCCAGTCTACATTTCCCTTCTTGTTGTAAACAGGAATGTTTTAAGAGGAAAGAGCCTTAATAAGCTAATGGGAAGAAAGGGCATGAGGAAATAGATGAGGAAAGGTGAAGTTAATTACCTTGTGAATCAATGAGTTCTAAAGATGAGGAACGTATTATTATTATCTGGATAACTCATCTGTAAGTAGGAAGTACCACCAGCTTCTGTAGTATATGGAGACAGTCTGCTGTTCTCAGAACAAACATAGCAGTCAATCAGTATCAAAAGCCAATGCACCAATTTCATAATTTTAAAATTCATTTCATTGTTTCAGTATTCTTTAGCAAATATGAAAGCATAAACTGCTTTTAAGTTTTGGGGGCTTTATGTCACTCTGTGGCTTCTTGTTCTAGATTTTCTAGCGTATGTATGAATGATAAATTAACAGGGAGGAGGCCACTGCACAAAACATTTCTTTCACAGATATGTCTACAGAAAAGTTTCTGTTTCACCTTGATCTTCTTATAGACTTTTCCCTCTTCTTATTCTTTATAATACAGACACATCTCACATATTTTATAAGAACTTTATCTGTCTCAGGACCCTGTTTCTTACTGGCCTTGCAGACCTGAAAGACCAAACTGAGAGGAAGATGGAAGGCAGTACCTAATATTTCTAAAATACTGTTGACAACATACCAGTAGTCTAAATGCTATTGATTTTTCCTCTCAACAGATTTAAAGAAATGCCAGGAAAAATTGTGAAGTTGCAGATAGTTCTTCCAATTGTGTTTACTTGGGAAGAAGAAAATGTTAAAGCCTGTTTGAAAAGTTGAAAAAGGTCATTTGTCTGGCAATGGAAAATAGGGATGTGATGTGATGCTGAATAGTGGTCTCTGAGAAAAGTTGTAAAGAGGCTTGAAAATGCAGTCAAGGCAGCTTAAATGATTTGAAAGACAGTTGGAAGCAATGAATTGTAAAATGGTAACATTTGGGGTGTATGGGAAGGGCTTTGCTGCAGTGCTCTGAATGCAGTGAGCAGAACTTTATTGCCATTTTCAAGGCAAAAGGAGGTGCTGTAATGACCAAGATGTGAGCTGTTAGCTGGGACAAATGCAGTGGGAAGGTGGGTGTGAAAGAGAGACACACATTCAGCATGACTCCGGGAGAAACTGGAGAGATCCACATCAATGAGATGCTGGGCTGTAGAAGAACAGTGATGTTGGCCCACAGTAATCATGAAAGTGATACTTAAGAGGTTTTGAGGAAGAGCTTTGGGAGCTCTCTTTGTTGCCAGCAGACAGCTGGGATTTTACAGGAAGGTATAGTGCTGCTTTGAATTAGGACAGCCAAATTTCTCATTTCGTCATTTGCTACGCTCTGCTCAGGACTTAGAATTTTTTTCCATAAAAATGTCTCATGAATAGGATTAAGACCAAAAGTTTCTTGTATGAAATGTATTGCTTGGAAAACACCATTAAACCAAAGATGTCTCAGCCCAAAGCAAGGCAAACTGCAGCTGGGTACAGAACGGTACCATGCCTGCTGGCAAGAGAATGGCTGTTCTAAAATCAGATAGGAAACAACACTTTTTTTTTCTGAAGGAAAACTTTTCTGAAGTGTTTTGAAGCTTTACAAACCATTTATATGTATCAGCTTTCAATAATGCTCCTATTTCAAATTTAGTGGAGTTGTAGTACTGAGGTATCCTTGGATCAAATACTATGCTATATGCTGAGCAGAAATGAAGCATTTACTCCAAAATACACTCTGTGTTTCTAAACAATCCCTTTTGAAGAATAAAAGTATGACAAATCAGCAAACAAAATTCAGAAAGTAGAAAATTATGTTCATTGTTTTGTTGTCTCAGATCTCAGTGTCATTTTTGAGTACCTAAGAACAATTTGTTGATTGAAAGGGATTTTTGCTATTTCAGGTATGTAATTATGGGAATGCCCTTGAATTATTTTTGCCAGCTAAAAGCCTCTTTAACCTTAAAAAAAAAATTGTCAGCTGTGTGGTAGAAAGCAGAAAATAGTAAGTTAAAGTTGAATCTCAGTACAGTTCATTCTGTACATTAAATTGTTAGAATCATTTTTGTAACACCTAAATCTTGTTCTTCTTTCAGATGAATGTGTGTAGGCTACGTTTAACAGTGCCACCTGATGAAGTGTCACAGCCTGAACAGGGACCAAAGGAAACTGAGAGAAAGAAAAGTGTAAGTTTTAAAAATCAAAGTTTTACTTCTCTATAAACAAGGAGTAAACATTGCCCTCCATAGATGTTGATATTTGTTGTTTTGGCAGCCCAAAGTTGATTTAGGAACATGTGGAAGATCATCAAATTGGGTGTGAGTTTTGAGTCTAAGCTTTGGAGTTAGGGATGGCAAAACTGCATGCAAAATAGAACGTGGTAGAGGAACAATGAGGTTGTAGGTGATTTGTGACTGTGGTACCTTTACAACTTGATTATTTCATATTTATGTGTCAAAGACCAGGAAACTGCTACTAGGAACACAGTCCTGTATTAAACACAGTCCTGTATTAAAGAGGATCCCATCTTGATTAGGATCCTCTCGATCCTAAAAAAGCATTTCATATTTCATGTAGGCTCAGATTTAATGTGCAAGATTTGAGCATTAATGTAGTTGGTGTGCTGGGGACCCTTGATGTTTGTGTGTGCCAGCTAATTTCAGTAAAGGGTGATGTACAACTAAGAAATTAAAGAATTCAATTATACATTGATAAACCAAAATTAAACAAGTTGATGAATTTTGCCAGACTCAATGTCTGACAATAGAAAGAAAAACAACAATAGAGTTTACTGGAAATAATTTCTTAGAAATACTTAAAGGCAAAAATTACTGCGAAAGGCATTCTAAGCAATAAAAATAAATGCAAAGTAAAATTCTCAAGATAAGGATTCCTTATCAGTTGTTTTTGTCCTGGAATCTTTTATACACTCAGGTTTTCATACACTGGTCTATCAGAGTAATTGGTTCTTCAGGATCTAGAAACATTACTTACAGAATTGTTTAAATAGACCTTAATGCAAACTAAATTTGGGCCACCATTAAATAGTAGTAATTCATTTTGTACGGAGGTGTTTAGTTGTAGCACTTAGAGTAGCTTCTCTGTCAGTGTCTTGTTAGCTTGTATCTGATTGCAGCAACTCTCAGACTGACCTAAGTTTATGGGTCCATTGCCCTAAGAGGAATCCAAGTTTGCTTTTGAGGAGGATAGATATTTACTCATGCCTCACTCACTTTATGGTTCTGAGTAATGTGATAATGAGAAAGAATTGTTAAGTATTAGGGCTGGACAATTTGTAGGGACCGTCTTATGTGACCAATGTTTTTCTCTGCGGGATGTTGCATTTAATGAGCTTTTATTTCCTCCATAATACAAGTCAAGGCAAGTGGGCTTTATATCAGAGAATGTTAAGGAGAGGATATGGAGATAATAAATGCATTATTTGATTCTATGTGCAAAACCGTGATGTTTAAGAGATGGGTCCTTATAAGCTGAGACCAGGAAAAGCCATATGCAATTTAAGTATTGTATGTTCTGAGTAGTTTCTAAAGTTCAGTGCTTTTAGACAATTTAAAGACTTAAAAGTCAGGCTTCAGAGCTAGATGGGATCTACTCAGCCAGTTGCATACCAATTAAAACACAGAGGAATTGTGCCAACTACGTGTGTTTTATAATTTCTGTGTGACAAAGAAAAATACCTCACAGATAGTACAGCCATGGTGTATGGAAGCAGCTATAAAAATCACTGCTCATGAACTGGGTTTCCCTCATGTCTCTAAAGCCAGACAGCAGTGTATTACCTGTAGATTTTTATTGTCTGTCTAATCGATTGCTTAATATATTTGAAGTAACTTACAGTGCACACATGCCTCATGATTAGTCATACTGTGATGTTTTACTGCACAGTTTAATTAAAAAAAACCTCCTAAAAACAGTAATCAGGTATCTGCTGGTCACCCATGTTCAGCTGACTTCACGTTAATGAAATCACTTCAAGCACTTTGAGAACAAGTTTTACAAATGTTAGATCATCCTTACACACTCCTGTGCCCCTTTTTGGAAATAGGGATAATAGAAATTAGGGAACTGCTCTGTTTTCTACCTTGCACTTTACAATTTAAGGTCAAAAAATCCAGCTTCAGCAAGAATCAGGTTTAACATCAAGTCCTTTGCTGGAATCGAGAGTTCTGTGCTGACTTTAATTGCTGACTCCTAAGAAAATGGGAACACGAAAAATGCTTTTGGTATTTACAATACATTAATGTGACTTACAGAAATGAGCTGTAGGGGTAATCTGTGGGATTGCACAGTTTTTGCTGGAGTGCTCAGCCAAGTCAGGCGGTCAGAGCCTGGCTGCAGGTGCTTTCCTCTTTGGGCAGGACAAGTCTCTGCCTCTGCTGCTGAGGGAGGAGAGAAAAGACCTTGCAGTGTCGGAGGGAATGCCAGAAAACTATAAATACACCATGGCGTGACATTTGGTGTAATCTCCCCTTTCAAATCTTTCATTAGAAGGAGGTGATTTTGAGCTGCCCTAGTGTGACACGGTGATGGCTCACTGTGTTTGTTACTTTTCTGCATCTCTCAGGCTCAGTACCATTAAGAAGTGTTTCAGTTGCAGAACCAGGTAATGAACTACACAGCAGCTCTTGCTAGTGCTGATCCTGCCAATAGCTTGTTTTGCTGCTTGTTGTCAGACCAGAAGTGATTCTTTATCAGTTATGTTGATAGCTCTTGCCTTAGCCTTTTTCATTGGAGTCCAAACTTGGCAGGAAATTTATTCAATCTCTATCAGTGCAGTAAATTTCTAGATTAACTTTTTTACTGCTATGCATCCATTGAATAAAAATGAACTAGTGTAAGAGATTAAAAATGACATGATGGATCTGGGTGGTTTTCTTGCAAGAAAATTGCTGCAGGCAATACTGTACTAGGGTGGCCTCTCCCTGCCTTTTGTGAAAGGCTGGCAGATGGTACAGAGTTAGACCCTGATCTCAGAAACTGAAGGGGGAGTGAGTTTGTGTCAGGTTGGATTTTTTATACTCATATTTAGGATATGAGACCCTGAAAGAAGCATATGAGGACTTAACTCACAGGTAGAGGCTGGTTGGTTGGGTTGTTTGAATTGTTAGTACTTTAGGTAGAGAGAATCACAAACTATTCTGATTCTGTTCCATTATTTCTGTCCATGACAGACAATGGGTGACAGTAGTGTGAGGCTGTTTACTTCACCATGAAGTACAAAGGAATGTTGTGCTTGGCAGATTGTATGCAAAATCTGCATATCCTGAAGCCTCTCTTGTCTTGCATAATAAAAGGCTTCCAGACAATTGCATTGTCCCTGTTTGGGATTGGGCTCGTTTTTATCCATCAGTCTCTTTCTTCACTGTCATGGTTAAATTTGGAAGTGTCATTGGAAGCTAAGCTTTTGAGGGCAGAATGTGAAGATATGTACAGACAGACATTTCTTTTTCATTTGGATATGTGGACAAGAGAATGAAAATGAGATAACACTCTGGAGATTTGTGTCACTTTGCTGTCTGTGGCTTTCAGCCAAGATTGAGCAGTGCTTAGTCTTGAACTCAGGTTGGTACTTGGGCTGCATATATCCTCAAACACTTTAATTTTATTGGTTTTTAAACATCACAACTAAGAAATTGTTTTTACTTCCTAAGCAAGAATACAATAGCAAACCTTTTTTTTTCCCAGGAAAAAAAAAAGTAGGCTGTAAAGAAGCCAGAAGGGGAATTTGCTTCTGTACATCATGGTGAGAATCAAGCAGAAACTTTTGTCAGGCCTGGTTCAAGAATATGAGTGCAGTGAGTGTGGGGCTGTGGTGCACATGGAATCTAGGACAGTGCTATTTTCTCTGCTGCTGCCAGCCCACTCCTGTCAGCAGAGCAGAACTTGTACCTGAAAAAATGTGGTTCATCTGCTACAGGTGATGTTACTGTTTCTCAGCCTCTCCAGCACTGGTCGCTTGATTTTTGACTCGGACTAATTACGTAACACCTTTTTTAAAACTAGCACTACATAAAAAATACAGAAAGAATTTCACAGACTTCTGAGGTTACTGCTGTGTTTGTTGTATCTTAGCTTCCCAATGTGTAACCACTGGCATTCTGTGTCCAGATTTCAGGGTTTAGATATCACTTTGTATAATGTCTGACACTTCTCTTTTGAGATGGACACCTGAATTCCACACCCAAGGAGCTTCAGTGTTGGAATGTGTTCAGTGATGCTTCTTGCATTCTTCATGAATTTCAGAACATTCATGTCTGTTGTGGCATGTTTTCCCTATTGTAATACTAGTTGAATGTAAAACATTCCTAAATGTAACATGATTTTTATGGGTAGAGGAATATGAAAAGACATAAAAACAGAGCTACCTTTTGTCAGAGCACAGTAACTTTTCATGGTGAGCTCAATGTTGTACATGTGTCATTTCACTGAAGAGAAAATATGTAACCTCAGTAACAGCATGAATATTCTTGTTCCTTGTGTAACTAGTGAACAGGTAAAAGATAACTGGATGTTGTAGAAATGCCTGGAATGTGGGTGTTAAGGGAAAGATAAAGCCTTGCTTGACTGATGTAATTCTTGTTTAAAGTTTTTTGATGGTGTAGGTAAACAGAAAATCATGAGTCACGAAAATTTCAAGGCCACAGGGATACTTAACACAGACTTGTGTTAAGCATTACATTAGATGTCCTTTTTTCTCAAAAAATATGAGTCTTCTGTGCTTTTGCTTTCAATTTTGGGGCAGGGAGAAGAATTTTGGGGCAGATATGAGCCTATCTGACTTTTATTTATAAAACGGGTAGATTAGGAAGCATATATCACCCCCCAGTGTTATTTACATAATGCAAATTAAAACATAGGCCGTAGAAAAATCAGTGAAAAACTAAATTCAGGGTTTAGTTTTGTAATGTCTTCACCTCTTTCATGCTACTTGTGCTGCCTCCGTGGACAGAGACATAAACAGGATCCATGGTAATTATCAAGACTTTTGCAACCTTGGGGTGTAGGCTTCTGTTTTAAATATTTATTAGTGAGGTAAAGACAGTCTGTGTTTCTTTGGTGCATTCTGTGTGATGACACCAAGCGCAGCTGTCTGTTGCTGCAGCGCAGACAGGACGTGTTCCTGCAGGCTGATCCAGGCCGTGCCAGCATCCACACCATGTGTCCTTGCTGTCACCTTGGGCTGTCGTAGAACTGACTGTAGGTGCAAAGAAATATTCACAAACAGGTTAAGCTAACTCTGCCTTTTCAGATCATTAGCTCACATTAGAAGGGATTTGGCTGTTATTTTGACCTTAAATGGTTGATTAATCTAATTAACCCTTCCATCTTAAAGCACTATTCAGGTTAGCTTTACGGTATTTACTTGCTCCTAAGTTCTTGCATGTATTTACTTACGCTGTTATCTTCACTGAGATGCCTCACTGCAGATAAGAGTGGAGACCATTGAGGACCTGCTTGGAAAAATATCTGAGTTCTGAGAGTGGGTATGTATGGGACACAGAGGAAAATAATGGGAAGTATTTAAGTTACTGTTATGTAGTTCTTGAGCATGTGGAAAATCCAGAATTTGTGAAAGAGGAAGCATGGGAGAGAGGATGTATCAGAGGAAGAACTGAGTACAAGGCAGAAGTGGAAAAAACAGTGAAGAGAGAATAATAGACAAATATGTATAAAGTAGCTTGAGAGGAGGCAAACTGGCAGAACCATACTCAGTGCATGCTTACTGCTGCAGTTCTGTGGAGATATTTGAGAAGTGAGCTACTCAGCAAGGCCTTGTTTAGAGACGAAGCTGTATAGAAAAAGTAGTCAACAAACAAAGCAACCATCTCAACCTGCATTCAGAGGAGTTTTCTGATTGTAACGTTTCTCCTAAGAGGAGACTGCATCAGGTGAGCCCCTTTTTGGTTTGACAGAGCCCTGAAACCACTGGGCACTGAGAAGAAATTCAGTTACTAAACAGAAAAGGGTGAGTAGAAGATAAGCATGGCTGGAATAGAACAGCAATGAAAAATGTTAAGGAAACATGAGAACAGTTACTTGTGTAGCTTTGGCTCACGCGTCTTTAAAACAAGCAAGAGCTGAAATTTTAACAGGCACTTGTCTGGGGATTGTGATACAAAGGAAGAATAAGGGGAGGGTAAAAACAATATCCTGTATTTGAAGTAGCACATAGAACTGGAACAGTCAACAGATGATGGAGAGTCCTTTAATCTTCTGAAAGAGAAGTAACAAAGGCATCTTAGGAGGCTTGTGCACATACAGATAACAGGCAACTTTAGCATTGTTGCAAGAGACATGTTACCAGTCTGCCTTTGTGAGTACCTAATCCTGCATGTACGGTTCATTATAATGTAAATTTAAGTGTCTGTTCATCTCTGAAATACATATGTAAGTGCCATGGGTGATTCTCCAGCTGCAAACCCATTGGTCTGAATTTGTAGGTCTTTCTTGGGGAGTGGGGGGTGGCCTGGGAGAGGGGGCATCCTTCAAAGCATTCCTTAGGAATGTGTTCATCATATTCTAAAAATAAGGAACTTGGTCAGAATTTTTATGCCAGAGTTCTGCAAACAGCACTTAGACAATTCTGCTAATGTTTCAGAGGCACAAAGGACCTTGGTATTGCTGGTATTCAGCTGTTCACCTCATTAAAAATGAGTGATCATGGGCAAAGGGTATGGATTTATGAATTCAGTGTCTGGTGCCTTGGTAACCTCTAAACAATCAAAGTGATTATTCATTCTGTTATCAGGAAGATGGAAACTTGTGTGTAATCCCTTTTTCCAGATGCAGGGGAGGAGCTGCAGTGATCTATGAAAGAAACAACCCTCAAAGCAAACAAACACAAAATAATTTTGAGTCATGTCCCCATCTTGTTTCTGTATTTCTCTATTTCTAAGTATGAGGTGTAGAACTTTTGTTTGTGCACATCCAAACAGCAAAACAAACCCCCAATAATACATAATTATGAAACATCTCATTTTGAGGATATGAAGCTTTGCATATGTTTTCAAAGTGCAAAATTACATCATGTATAGGTAGGGCTGGTTGCCCAATGTTTTCTTCATTAAATGGTTTTAAAACTTTCTTCTCAAATGAAGGCTTACAACTTTGTTATTCTATGCCTGAAATGTTCTTTATTGGGTGTCTGTCTGTGATTGTTCCCCTCCCAGCCCTGCACACACACACCCAGAGCCTCAGCAACATGCTTAAACTATTAATGATGTGATAAAGAAGAGCGTATAGGATTTACAGTGTTGAGGAAAATCAGTCAGTGCCATGTGGGAAGGACACAATATAAAACAAATGTCTGTCTCTGTAAATGTTTCTTAATACAAGTAAGTTTTCCTGTTAATTTCCCCCATACCTAAAGAAATATTTATTCTTATATTGCCAGCACAGTTGTGTTGATTTGGCTGCTAAAAACTGAGAGTGCTGCTGCTTTAGGCTACAGATGGTGTCTTCTCTTCTCTGTCCTGGTAAGGATGGGAGATCTCCAGGATGCAGCTCCAGATGGATATAAGATGCTGAGCTTCATCTCTTTAAGCCTCTGTTTGTTGTCAAAGACTATTTAGACAATGTTTAGAATAAAAAAAACAAAACCAAAACATATTCTAAAGTCAATGTAGTAAATGTCCTCAAGTGGACCTGTATGTGGTATATCCAGCACAAGAAAGTAAATTCAGTAAAACAATCCATGCCTGATTTTTCTTTAGAACTGACCTTTCAAACAGAATGTGCAAAGCTTATCAGTAACAGCTGTGTTTCCAAATTCTGCTTTATCTTCAAGTGAGACAGATCTTTTCTCTTTTAAAGAACACTGTCTAAATGTTTTAATTTCAATTTCTTAGAACTTTCTATGTTTTTTGAGTAAACTTGTGAATTTTTCTTTCCTGCAGCCGGGAGTTTGAGAAATGAGGAATAATTCTCTGGTTGCAAGAGTTTAGAGGGAGCTAGAGACCTGACAGTGTTTCTGAAAGAATGCAGAAAAGTTACATCTGGTGGTGAATGAAAATAAGCCAGTTTACCCTTTTCTTACATGCCTCTACCTCTCCTTGTACAAATCAGCCTGTTGTCTCTAGCTGTGCCTAGATGACTTCTATTGAAGGCAGTGGTAATTAAGCATCTCTGTATTCTTTATCAATTATAAGTTGGTCATTGTTCTTTCCAAAAACATGAAGGTTGACAGGTTGACTCCAAAATGTTTGTGAGTTAGTGTTCATATGTTCTGCTGTGCTTTTGCTATGATTGGTCTCTCTCCTGGCCCTAAGTTACTGTGGTTTTATTTATGGTGGTGTTTTTTTTGGTTTTTTTTTTGTTTTTTTTTTTGTTTTTTTGTTTTTTTGGTTTTTTTTTGTTGGGTTTTTTTTTTTTTTTTTTTTTGGTTTTTGGTTTTTTTTTTTTTTTTGTTGGTTTTTTTTTTTTTTTTTTTTTTTAAATTTTTGTCTTATTTTTTTTTTTTTTTTTTTTTTTAATTTTTAGGAGCTCTACCATGTTCCAAATGGGATGTCTCCAGGGAAGCTCTCTCATGGGATGGTGTATGGTGTTGTGCACCGAACTGACAACAACCATAAGAGAGAAATGGTGGTGTATGGCTGGTCAGCTGATCAGCTGAAAGAGGAGATGAATTACATTAAAGAAGTGAGTTACACTTTCACCTCAAAATTTGTTAAATACCCTTTCCATATATCCATATATTTCCATATATGTAGAGCTGTGAGAGTATAATGGGATGACTGATGTCTAGCCCAACATCTCTGTTTGAACTGGGAACCTACTCTGAAGATAGAGGCTGGCCTTGGTAGTATTTGAGTTGGGAAAAATCATGCCCTATACCTGGGAACTGTGCTTCCTGATGGAAGAAGTTATGTAAGGAGACACCTGAAAAGATAGTTTCTCTCTTCCTCTTCTTCCCCTGACCCCAAAATCCTCAGCTTTGAAAAGGCTTCTAAATTAGGTGACATAGTAAAGTCACTTGGGTATATTTTGGGGCGGCCTTAAAATAGTCATCCTAATAAGGATGTCTTTGTACTACTTTTTCTGTGCCTGCTCATTTATCACAGTTGGCAGAAGATTGCCTGAAAAACACAAAATGCATTTATGATCCTGCTTGAAATTTTTCTGTTCTTGGAACTCAGCATCTCTTTGCCCATCAGTCTTTGTCCCTCAGGCTGTGTCAGTAACACCCTGATTACGTCACGGCAAATAATCTGACCTCTTTCCATCCACCCTCACCACCCAGGAGGCTGTTGGTCAGCCTTTATTGTGTTACACTGGTTCAAGTGCAAACTGAGTTGATAGAGAAGGGAGGAACCCTGAGTCAAGCAGCAGTGTAAAGCACTTTAATCATGTAATCATGTGTGCTCCTTGCCTGCCTGCTCTGTGGCTATCAGCACTTGCTTCTCTCCCTCAGTACTCCCAGTTTGCCGGCTCCAGGTGTTCCCCACTCTCAGGCTGAGGTTAGGGACTGGCAGGGTCTGTCAGTGCTGTGGGGCTGCTGAGGCACACTGCCTGCCTTGGCTGCTGCTTTCCTGCCTAGGTAGTTTCTCTGCCCTGCTGGGGCAGTGCCAAGGGACAGGTGAATTGGCACACAGCAGGGCCAGCTCCCCAAACTGCACTGTCTCTGGTACCTGGGGATTGCTTGGGCTGGGACCATCTCCCTGCCCTTTTCTTCCTTTATGGAGGGACACATCACACCAGGTGAACTGCATGTCTTGCTTGTGCATTCAGGGTACTGATGGTTTCAGGAAAAAGTGGGAAGGACAGGGGAGGAGACATGCTGGCTTTTGCTCTTCTGTCTTCCGGATGCTGTGTTCAGCTCTGCTACTTTGTGATCTTTGGTCTGCTAGAGTAGTGGTGTCTTTAAAAGCAGAATCTTGAACAAGAGTCCTCAGCTTGTGCCGTGTATGTGCTGACTCAAATAGACCAAAACTGATGAGCCATGTCAGAGCTGCTGACAGCTTCCTCTGCCTGAGTCAAATTTCATCTTGCAGGAGGGTGTGTGCCTGTGTTTGTGCGTGGGGAGGCACAGGGTGAGTGGTGCTTTCCTGAGGTGTCAGCTCCCCTCTCTCTTCCTCATCCCAAAGGGAGCCCGTGGGTAGGGAGCACTCCTTGTATAGGTCTGGTGGCCAGTGCCCCTCTTTCTGGGAGTGAGGGGATTCTATGCAGAGCTGCTAAAAACATCCCCTGCTAAAGTTTTGCCCTCATCCCACTGTGCAGACACAGTAAACTCACTGACCTAAATGATCTGCAATCAGCCTGTGCTTGGCAGAGGTGAGGAAGGGAAAAAAAGAGGTTGAATTACGTAGGCTGTAGGCAAACATGACTGCAGTGGCATGTAAAGCCAACTTGGGGGTTTTTGAATGGTTTTTTTCCTAGAAAGGCAAAGAATAATTTGCATCCATAGTTCTTGAAATCAAATTGAGTTCTCCATTCTTCAGATTTGAAATTGCATTGGTAAATGTAAGCTAGTTTTTTGTTTAGTTAGATATAAGTTTAAAAGACTGAAATTAAAAGTGTTTATCTGCAAAGGATACCCAGGGGAAACCAACCACTTTTAAAAGTATGGAGGTACAATAAGTCCATGCCTTTTTTCAGAAATAAAACAATATGTGATCAAATTACTTTTAATTCATTTAGTAATCAGGTTAGAATGACTTACAGGTATTTAATTGAAATTAATTTATCTAAATTATTAATTTATAAATGTTTAAGCATGTACACAGAGGTTTGGAATTAGTCACAGTGACAGTTATTTCTATCATCCCTATGTAGACAAGTCTTGAGACTTAATTTTTTGTCTTTTCCTTGAGAATAAATTGCTGTTATGCAGTGGTAGATTAACAATGGAAATTACAGAAAGTAACAATGAAGAACATAGAGAAAAAAATAATGTCCTACTATATGAACAGTATAATCCAAAATTTTGATAAAGGCATTTGATTTTTCTGACACCAGGTGAGAGCAACTCTGGAAAAAGTAAGAAAGAAAATGTATGGTGAATATGATGAAATGAAACGAAAAATACAGCAGCTTACAAATGAACTGAAAGTAAGTACCCATTCGTTTGCAAGGAAAGCATATGGGAATAACTGTCCCAGTGTTATCTAGAAACTTTTCTTTTGCTTTAGCAGCACAGAACTAATCTTCCAAACCACTCAAATTCGCTGTTTTATGTGAAATCTGTAGTTTCCTTTTGTTATTTTTTTTCCATCCAGGAAGGTAAAGCAGGACAGGGATGCTTTTGCATATGAAATTACTAACTGGCTGGAAATTCTTGGAAATAAAATAATGATTTTGATACCATTGCCAGTGTGTATTGGTAATTAATAGAGATGGATGTAACAGCTTGCAGGTGAATCAAATAAATAACATTGATAATTAGGAGAAATTGATAACTTGGAGTTATTTCAACACTTTGCTCTGTTTTACTGACTCTGTTGTTGAAACACTAAGTAAAAGAAGTAACAATATTCGTGAGTATTAAAGTGCTAAAAATGATTTACCTTTTGGTTTTTAATGGAACGTTTCAATAGTCATTCAATGACCTGTCTTTCTTCTGACATGCTGCTTTAGCAATAAAAGCTGCTGCACTCTGTAAATAGCCTTCATATTAAACTGCTGAGTTGTTGGATCTAAAAAATCCCCCTGAAAACTTGCTTTGAATTTATGTTCAGCATTGATTTTCACAGCCCTGGTTCAAAGGAAGATTTGGCAATAAAAGTATTCTGACTTCAAGGGACTGGGACCTTGACTTGTGCCCTTCTGCCTTCCTCATTCGGAGGCTGTCAGTTCCCTGCATGCTGTATTAGGTACAAAAATCAGAACTTGGTGTAAACTGGTACTTTCATTCTGTGCAACTGGTCTCAAAAAATAGAGAAAAAATCACCCTGACTTGAGAGGAAGAGAGAGAAAAAACTCAATTTCTGCAAACTGTGTTAAATAATCATAATACAAACAAGACTCACTACTCTCCCCCCAGCATGCATGTGCTAAATGCTGATTCAGGTGCAGCTTTGTTGTCTTTGCTGCTGATCTTTACTGAATAGCAGTGATGATATCCTGCACTTCCAGAACTACTGTCAGACCAGTAGAAATCCTGAATGAGTCAGAAATGCTTCTTTAATTAAGGGTTTCTGACCAGCTCTGACAGAATATCTAGTTCTCCAGCAAATTAGCAGTTCATGAGGCTTCCTTCTGACATAAATGGCACATTAGGAGACATCCTTCCCTTTTTTTAGTACTCTAGATTGCCTGAAAGGAAGCACAAATGTTGTTCTTCCTAATAATGTGAGCTTTTGTTTGGTTAGTTTTTTGGGAGCTGATTTTGGTTTTATGTGACTGTTGTTTTTTGTGCTATTTCCGAATCCTGTTTAAAATCCTTTCTATACTCTTTGCTTCAGCTTTCAATCACTGTGCTTTTATCTTTGCAATTTCCAGGACAACTTTTTATTCATAAAGGTTATTTGAAATTTGCTCTTCCAATATCCTGCCCTGGGCTTCTTCTCACATGTTCTTGCCTTGTAACTTTCTTAATCCATCCAAAGCATTTCTGCTTTCGTTTGTTTTACATGAGCACACATTTATGGAAGGTTAACAGTGACTACTTGGCCTCTACTCCCTATGCTGACCTAATCTGTGTATGGCTTGGTTACTACATACTTGTCCCCTGTATCAGTCTTTGGTGTTCTTCTCTTTTTATCAAGAAGCAAATCTGGTCCCTCTAGGAATGTGAGCTGGTTGGCTTTCATTAGTAACACTCTTTCCCTCTTTATTATTGGATCATTCACAATTATTTACACTGTTTGAGTTTTGGTCTCTTCTTGAATGATGTCATTTTGTGTCTTTCCCCTCCCCCCCCCTTCAGTTTTTAAGCATGTGTGTGTGTACATATCAGAAAATGACTAATTTTCACACAACAAAGCCCTCTGGCTTCCCCTTCCTGCTTTGTACTGTTTCTTCCTTACGTCTTCTTGATGTTGCTTCTCTGTGTACCTGATTAGTCAGTTCCTTCTTAATTAAGGCCTTTCTACAATTCACAGTTCTTGATTTCCTTATTTCTTGCATTCTTCTGCTTTTCACTCTGAAGTTTTACAATCTGCCCACTCTATGTATATAATCTGTCTGAATAGAGAGCTGCCAATTGTCCTCTTGTCCTTTGAAAAAGAACAGCTTATACAGTGATTGCAGACTAACAATAAACTTAGATACTCATGCCTTATTTCTGTTAGATTATTTGGATTTTAAGTTTTGTTTGTTTGTTTGTAAAAGTATACTTTGAGGCCTGTATATTTTAAGCATCCTAGTAAAATGAAAACGACCTTAGCATCTTTTTCTTGTGTAGCTCTCTTGGAAAGAATAGATAAACTTGGTCATTATTCTATATAATTATTTTTTTTTCCCCCTGCTCAGGTGACAAATGCTCATCAGGAATCCTTAGAGAATCATGTGCGAGTGCAGGCTGCAGCCTTAGATAGCTTTAGTGAAATGAACAGCTCCTTGACATCAGCATCAATAGACTTGCAGGTACATCTTCATAGCTGCTTCCCAGCTCACAGCTGCCTTTTCTAACATGGATTTCAAAGCATGCAGAAAACATGGATGACAGATACAGATTCTAACACTAAGCAACACCATAAAGTACTGTCTTGGATATCTAAAGCACCTAATTTAAGAAACAAAGAAAAATGTTCCAGAAGTTCTTGTGTTAAAAAAAAAAATTACAAATAATGCACAATAAAGAGATACTGATATGCAGCAGACTAATACCACAAATCATGTCTCTGTGAAGGATCTAAGGTGAAAATGTGATTTGGTCTGTATAGTGCAAAATGGTGCATCTCCTGACTTAGTTCTGCCTTCAGTTGGTAACAGAAATGAAGTGGCATGTTTGGGTGCCAGACACTTGTAAGATTTTACATACCTGTGAAATGCAGGGGGAGGGATGAGGTGGGAATTTCCATGTATCTGAGCTGAACCACTTAATGTCCCTGCTTTCTTGTATGTAACAAGAATATTATATTCTTGTACATTACTTTCATGTTTTCAGTCCACTGCATTTTGTATGTATGGCATGGCCCTCAGAGAGAGGGGAAAATTATTCATGCTGAAATGTATCCATGTTCCTTTTTTTTTTTTTTTTTTTAAATAGTGTTCCAGGACTCGATTTCACTGAGTATACTCCTACAAAACACCTTCTAGCAACAGCAAAAGCCATAATTTTAAATATTAAAACTTGCAAAACTCTTCACACTGAATTAATGTGTCAGAAAGCTCTTTAAATGTGCTGTTTCATAATATCTTGCCTATATTAATTAATCAAATTATTTCTGACTTTAAATATGTGCTTTGCCTCTTTCTTCTAGAAAACTCTAGTGGATGTTACATTGGAGAACACAGATATAAGGGAACAAATAAGGAATTTAAAACATACACATGAGCAATCTATGGAAAAGCTGAGAGAGAAACAAAAGCAACTGGAAACGGCACAAATTGAAAATCAGTTACTGAAGTTAAAGGTGAGCTGTACAAACTCCCCCAAAAATACTGCGCAGTAAGGGCATTAGGTGGATGTTAAATGAATTCCTTGGCCTTATCTGTAAAGGGTTCTTCATTCTTCATGCCCTTGCCATGCCCTCGAACTCCCTTGTTCCTGTGAATCAATACTGGTTTAATAACAAAGAATCTCAGCTGGCGACAGGCAGTCTTCCCATAACATGGGATGCAACATAAGAGTGAGAGATGTTGGCAGGTGAAAATTCAAACCATTAAATGGTTATTAGTGTCCTTTCCTATTAAGTAAAGGAATATTACAACTCTGCACATTGCTACCTGAATTTCTTGGTGTTGAGTTTCTTTGGTATTACACCATTTTTAATAGGTAGTCTGTTAAGTCTTATGAGCATGTGGTCAGCAGGTAACAGCAAGCATCTTCAAAAGAGAATTAAGCTATTTCTTTCAGAGAAATGCAAGGGAATAAAACACAAACTGCATGGTTTAATATGACAGACAGCTTGACCATGTTCTCCCCTCATCACCTAAATGATTCCTTTAATTTCAAAAAAAACCAAGTCTACAAAAAACCCAAATAAAACAAACAATACCCTCTCCTCCCCGAAAACCTTTGTCTCTGTTAAAATTGCTCAAAGCAGACCAATTGGGATATAGTACTACATCAGAATTCATCAAATTTTGAAAAATTAGTTTCTATTTTTGATAAAGTTTCTGAAATTAAGGTGACTGCAGCTATATTCATGTTTAATCTTGAGAGAAAAGGTGTCTTTCTGGCTGTTTTGCTAGTGACTAGCACTCATGCTTAATGATGAATGGTTAAACAAGAAAACATATCTGCACTTCATGTTCTGCCTTCCACTCACAGTGAAGCTCTACAGGCTATAAAAGTAGCTGTATTTTGCACCTGTGGTTGTCAGCAGGAAATAAAAAGAGGGAAAAACCAAGTAACAGATGCAAATATGATGCAATTAAGATTTTAAAACAGAAATTTGGGCTTCACTACAATATTAAAGACAGGCCCAAGCAAGTCAGGGAAAGGTATGTCTGTTTCTAAGAGCAAGGAACTGAAGTCTCAGTTTGACTGAAAGCATAAGGATTTGTTTATCTTCAAGCATGTCAAGCTCTGCAGAATACAGGCCCTGCATTTACACAGCAAAAGTGTAAATTTTGCCATGACACTTTCAGTTTTACTACCAAGTTAGTGAAAAATATACCTCATTACTGTTGTTGACAGTTAAATATAAAACTATGTCTCAAAAGGTGCCAAGAGTTCTGGGAATTCATTCTAGCAGTAAGGAAATGGTGTGGGATCTGGGAGGTTAGTGTTGAAAAGCAGTAACTACTGTATACCATGATTACATTGTGGGTGGAGAACACACCTGTGGGGCTTATTAAGGTTTGGTTTATTCATAAATCTGTAATAACTTACAGTGGAGATGTTGCTTAAGTGTATCATTATAGATGCCCTGATACATCCACTTTTTTAATGCTAGTTTTCACTCATTGTCCTCATTGCACAAGGTGTAAGGGAAGAAGTGATGGAGATAAAAGGCCAGAGATCCTGTTCCAGGGCAGTGTATCTTAAGGAATCTGGGGTTTAATGATTGGCTTTCTCTAAATGATACGATTCTTTCAGGCTTCCTGAAATGTGGAAGGTTCATTTAACTCCACACCCTCTCATAGAGTGCAGGTGACTACCTGTGCCCCAGGGCTGGCCTAGTCGAGATGACAGAGGGGACAGTTGCAGTACGAGTCCTCCAGGGCTCATCCCTTTTCAAAGAATGAAACACACTGTTTTTTTTCTACAGGGTACTAAACCAGCTTGTTTCTGCCATGCAAGATGAACCCAAGGGTTTACTAAACCTTTTGGTCCATGAAATAGAAAAATATCCAACCTAAAACCTTAATCATCAGAACTCTGTATTTTGTAGCTGTGTTAAGTGTGGTGATCAGCAGCGAGCACTTTATTCCTCCTCTTCCTGTCACTTTTATAGCCCCCACAGCATTTCACTATAACCTTGGCTGATTCACAGCATCTCTAGGAGGAGAACTAAGTTCTGTACTAACTGTTTTACTTCAATTTTATTGTGGTTTACATAGTAGATGGACCTAAGCTGTGAATATCCTATCTGGTGTTTAATTACTGAGGGTGTGTTTCAGTCAGTGTTTTCAGCCAACAGCAGGAAATCCTGTCTCTGAATTACCATTCTGCCTTCTTCCCCATAGCTCTAGTAAAGTTTCTGGTTCTGTTGTTAAAAATTAACCCTTCCACATGCCTGCGAATTCTAATTTTCAGTTTGATTGCAGGGAGGGTACTGCAATAAAGTATTGCTTTGAGTGTTCATGGTCATTCAGAAAGAGGAGTTGAGTCTAGTCCACCTCTAGTCCATGCTTCAGTAGAGCAGGGGGAGACACTATTGCCTCAATGGGGAAACAAACCAAGTGACTTGGGAGGCTGTTATGGAATGGTTCAGCAAAGAGGCATGGCCTGATCTTGGATCAGCAATGACTAAATAAGATAATTGCAGACAACATGGAACTTGAGAGAACAGTAACTTCTACAGATTCAAATTAAGTGAATACTGGCAGAATGCTGTAAATGGTCTTGATGCAAATGGAAATCTACTTTTGCAATGCCAGATTTATAACAAGGGGGAGCTTAACTTCAAACTCTTATTTTCTCATCATGTGAACTCTCTTTCTCCTGCTGCCAGCAATACTGTATTTACTGATGGGGCAACCCTCCTCTCTCACAGGTGGAGTCATCGCAGGAAGCCAATGCTGAAGTCATGAGAGAGATGACCAGAAAGCTGTATAGTCAGTATGAGGAAAAAATGCGAGAAGAGGAACAGAAACACAAGGCTGAGAAAGAAATGCTGCTGGTATGTACAGCCAGTCTGTAAGAGCAGTGCTTAGCTTGGATGCCATTTCTCAGTCACTTCATACTCTGGAGCTGATGCAAGTTCCTTCACTCCTGTCTCTCTGATTAATCGTGCCGTAGTTACTGAGCTTCCCAAACATTTGGAGTTATAGGACAAAGAAAAATATGTGTTCAAACATAGTAATATCAATGATAATCTAGATTTCAAAATCTGAAACAGGGTAAGTAGGCTTTTTTAACTTCTGATTCTCTAAAAAAGGAAAACATAATGTCCAAATTTAACAAGTGACAGTTTAAGAAGGGGAAAGGAGAACTTCACTGGATGCTACTGGAACAACAACTCTCCTGTCCCCAAATTTCCCTCCACCCCCAAGTTAAACCTTTGTATGAAGAGTATGTTGTTGCATTTTTTTAAATTATAGAATCAGATAATGATGGAGATTGAAGATAGATGCTCCTTTTTATTCATATTGCTTTACATCTAAGGAAAGTACAAAGCTGAACATGGCCAACTATGGTGTTTAGAAAGCTGTCTTTTGCAGCAGCATATTTTTCTCATGCTGTTATTTAACAGCATCCTCAGGGAAAGGGAAGGGAAATCAGCGACCTAAGAAATGGGTAAAAGTTTCTTTTGGATTGTCATAATGATGCTTTACTAATACCTGTGTATTTGAAAGTACCCCCAATCTTTGCTCTATATAATTCACTCTCAGGATCAACTGTTCTGATTTCTGAGCAGGTGTAGTGAAAAGCTTTGAGCTCTTTAGAGCTATTAGTCTGGCCCCTAGAGCCAAAAAGAAGAAGAAATATTCCTCATTAATACGTTAGATGCTAATGTGACTGTAAATGTTCTTGTTTGTAGGAGGAAACAAATCGGCTTCTGAAGGCTATTGAAGAGGCAAATAAGAAGATGCAGGTTACAGAAACAAGCATACAGGAGAAGGACCAGAGAATTGGTGAGCTGGACCGGCTGATTGAACGCATGGAAGAGGTAGGAGAGGTGACTGCTGCCTCAACAGGAACTGCACCAAGTGCATGGAGGAAATTTCAGTTGTTGTTCTGCTGCTCAGCTCCCTGCTCAGTGACATACCATTGCTGTTTGCATCTTCGTTACTGTATTTATATCAGTAAATGCACCTGGACTGCCAGAGAGACCCTGTGATGAGGTGGTGGTTCTCTTTTCCTGATGGTCCTTACAGGGCAGCATTTATTTAGGAAATGAACCATTATTTTAAAGAGAGAATTTAAAAACCATTCAGTGTCTCTTCAGTGTGCAAGGTGTCTTAAGCCTAATCAAGTAATAATCATAAGTGACCCAGAGTCTCTTCTAAATGTTGCTATGGCAGGTCCATAAAGCACAGAGCTTTGTCTGGGGATGGATAAGAAGCTAATCCTGGCCCTGTAGGGTCTCCATCAAAGGGAGGGCAGGGACAGGTGACATCAGACTGGGGGGCTACCCAGCCAGGAAGACTGAAAGGATGAGGCCCTTTACAGGCAATGGGAGCAGCCTCTTGTTCACAAGCCCTGGTCCTCATGGGGATTTTCAACCACCCTGACATCATTTGGAGGGACAACACAGCAGAGCATAAGCAATCCAGGTTTCTGGAATGTGTTGATGATAACTTTAGTCTCCAGTTGAGGAGAGGTTCTGGATCTTGTTCTCACCAACAAGGAGGAGCTGCTGGGGAATGTGAAGCTCAAGGGCAGCCTTGGCTGCAGTGACTACGAAATGGTCTTGGGTGTACTTTGGCATTTCTCATTTCATTCAATAGCAGGCATCTCATCTTTAAAGATTCATGCCTCATTGTCTCAAATACAGGAGCAGACTGTTGTAGCCAGTGGAGGGAGTACAATCTTCTGCTCTTTCAAATGAAGTGGTTTTTTTCACCAATTTCACTTTATTGTAGTACATATTTCATATCAGTATCTACTGAGAAATACGTTTTTACAAGCCAGTCTTGTTGGCTTGACTGGTTAGTCTAATGTGCATTGAGTGCCTTTTGTCTAATGCTTGCAATCCATTAGTAGAATTAATGATTATACTGAGAAATTACTCAACCTAATAATATGCCTCTCTAGTGGCTCCATTAACTCAATCTGGGCTTCAGCCTACAACTTTTAAGTATTATGCAGTGAATGTAGGATTGCAGTACAGTTCACATTAGTTCTTTAATCTGCTCTTATCTGGCTCACACTCACCCAGTGAGACTGAATGCCTCTTAAATTCCCATCAAGGTGGATAACACACTTACACTTCTCTGTTGTTTGACTCAGACCTTAAATCCTCACAGATCTTCACAAGCACTGTGCTGGTGGGCACTTAAAAATAAACAGGAATACTCTGGGGGAAGAAAATGCAGCAGTATCTTTTATCTAAGCCTTGGATTTGGGAGTTCTTTTTGGAGTGATAATGTGGACAATTTGACTTTATGTAGTTAAAGATTTTGATGACTCATCTTTTTATTGAAAAAAATCCAGTTTCAAGTACAGCTGCATATCTTCATATAGGAAATTGAAAACTGAACTAGTTTCCATGCATAGCTGGGAAATTGATTTTATTATTATGTATTCTGTCCTCCTTGGCTATAGGAAATGCATGAATTTTGTTTAATCAGTTTCTATTTTAATTTCACAAATGATGTTTTGAATTGCAATGAAATATGCTTTGTGAAGCCTTCACATTTTGATAGATGGAGAACTGAAGGATAACTTTTCTTGTTTAGGAACGTCACCAGTTGCAAAAACAACTTGAATTAAATGAACTACAAATATCTGGAGCAAAATCTGAAAACAACTCTGACAGTGAAAGGTGAGATATGATTTGCCTGTGGAACTTCTACTATTGCTAGGAAACTTGAAGGGTTTCTTTGCTTTTGTAGACATCTGAATTTTGCTTTTTCTAACTTTAAAACTGCAGTCTGGTAGGGATTGTCCATCTGAATGTAGGCTTATTGATATGTAAAATATCAAGACAATTATTTTTTGCAAGAATGACCACCTTCATGCATCTTTTCTGAAAAGTTGTTTGCAAATGTGTGGAGTCCATTTTAGGTGGAACAAGCTATGACATATCTGTGGCTTGCATTTTCCTTAAACCTGCATTCCCATATTCAGAAGAGTATGATCCTGACTATGAATACTTTCACTAGCTAAACTCAAAGATGTATATGACACTGTTTCAGCGGGTAAAGATGAATTATAGCCAGAGACTGAATAATAGTACTTGAAAACTACTTATGGTTCTGTGGCACCCAGAAATTAAGTTTTAAGGTTTTGGGCTTCCTGCTGTTCTTTGGGAAACATAAACATGAAAGGAGATCCCTGCTGAGAGTTTCTCAGTGCCTTGTATTGATCTGTGACCAGCTTCTCTGGTTTCAGAGCAAGAATGGCTTTTCACAGCAGCCTGTTAAAATAATAACTTCAAGGGAACAGATGTCGCTCGCATACAACATAGAATATGGAGATGAAAGATAATTGCTGTTTTCCTTTACCTCTGAATAACACAGACACTTCTTGCTTCAATGAATTCTTTTCACTGTGAAAAGTTATGCTGCAGTAAAAGGGTAAAGGCAGTGTTCAGGCAGAATTTGTGCAATGCAAGCGAGCTCACAGTTGCAATCTATGCCATGCAAGCGATGAATCTGTGTTCAGATGATGCTGGTTTATTCTTAAGTTGTCTTTACCTGTCTGTACCTTTTCAGACACTCAAGCTCCACCTTAGGAAGGATGTCTGTTCCATTTCTCCATTGCTATCAATGCTTAAGATCCTGAATCTTCCAATGAGACACAAAATATGTGCTACAATTGCAATTAAAATATAAATTAAAGTTTTATGAGACGTTAATACACACAACTGAAAAACTTGCAGCAATGCTTTGAATTTTTTGAGTCCTTGTCAAAGAGCTGCAGTTACATTTCTGCAGAGTACTTCACTGTTAATAGAGACTGTTTTGGAGGGAAACAGCATACAATTCAGTCATTCACTGGAATCATGTCTTACAGTTTGCCATCTGCTGCTTTGTCTTAGAATCGTTTTTCTATTTGCAGCTTTAACAGGTTTTTTTCTGCTGTGCACAGACCAAGATGAAAAAAGCCTTTTTGTTTTTGATTCCCCTCCTCCCATTCTCAAATTCTGTCCAGTCCTGAACCTAGGAGTACAGCAGTTTATTTTGTAAGCAAGAAATTGCTTTCTTTGACAAATTTTAAGAATTGGACATTCAGATAAAAATGGAGACTCCCATGGCCAAAGAGACAAAAACTTATGGAGAAGCTTCACTCTGGCTTCCTTGCATATTCTACAGCTGCTTTTCTGACAAGCTGCCAAACCAGCTTGAGGCAGAAGTTCTGTGGGAGTTCACTTTCTGTATTAAACAGATTTGAAGAAATGCAGAATCTATCCGAAGAGTTGTATGCACAAATGTAAACCATTCATAGCATTCCTGCTGACTGCTGAGGAGTTAATACTATTCCAGTTAGCATTCTGCTGCTGTTGGCAGCTCTGCCAAATTCTTGACTCAAGGCTCCCCTGCAGTAAGACAGCTTTGAAAGCAGACCTGCTTCCTGGCTTCTGTTTAGCACATATTTTCAAAAGATTTGCAGGTAGTAATAAGTCAGGCTAAATGTGTCTCTCTGAAGCTAAAGATCTAGTTGTCTAAAAGCCTTTCACTAAAGGAAAACACATCTTGAGATGAGTTTTGTCACACTGTTTAATTGTCAGCACTTCAGGCTCTGAGTAACCATGTCAGTATGCAAGACAAAGGTGAGATAACTTGGGTGGAGACTGCCACTTGGACTAAGATCACATTAAAATGTACTTTGGACAATTTGACATCTGTCAGTGCAATTTGACTTGCCTGTCCTGATTTATGGGGGATTGTGGGGGTTGTTCTTGTTCTGCTTATACTGCATATCTCCCCACTTACAGGCTTGATCTTTGCCTGTTTTGCCAGGTCACAGCATTTGGAGGAGGTAGCAGCCAGCTTGAGAGAGCGGATCAAGCATCTGGATGACATGGTCCACTGCCAGCAGAAGAAAGTCAAGCATATGGTTGAGGAGGTGAGATGTAGTAAAACAACTCAGAGTGTTTGGGGAGCACTGATTCTTTTAGTACATAACCCAAAGAGAACTGTGTTCTTTGTGTAGTTGCCTTATGCCACCTTTGTTACAGTGGAAGTTGAGTTAAGCATCTGGAGCCAGTGAAGCAGAAAGAGTAGATGAAAGCAGTTTAGTGCAGTGGCTGTGGGTTATATACTGTGATCTTTAGGCTGACACTAGTTCTGTACCCCTTCATGGGTGTTCAGGAAATGCAACACAACTTCCAGCTCAATTTGAACCGTTCAGAGGGTACCTCTGATATGATGCAGTCTAGTCATTAATGGTCTCCTTCCTGTACAGAATTGGAAGCCAAAAGCTGACCTTTATTGCTTTGTTCTTCTGGTTTTGGGAGATTTTGCTTAGGTTTGTTTGTTTGTTTGTTTAGTATGATTCCTCACAGAAATAGGTGAGCAAGTACAGGTTTTCACTGCTCATCTCTTCTTACCCTGGTCTGGGGACATTGTCTTAGCTGCTGCCATTTCCTGTAAAATTGTAAGTGGAATTTTGCTGGATAGATGCTTTAGGTTACAGGCTACCTATGTGTCAGGAAACTGTTCTGTGGTCAGAAGGCTGCAATTGCAAACATTTCTGTTTGTCCAAGTGGGAAGCATAACATGGAAAATAGATAAATTTAAATTGGAGCTTTACAAAGCTGACAGCTCTGTTAGATGAGCCTCCTACTGCACAGAGGATGGGTGTTTATGAGATACCTTTTATTTGTATCTGGACATCATACACTCAAAGATATCAAATGTTTAGAAACCACTCAAATCTAAGGCATTCCTTCTGTATTCACAATGTGCTATTACAGGATTTCTGATTAGGCATGGAGATGTTCCATTTTTGCCAAGTTTGTATTTATGTATGCTTTGTTTTATAAGATTCTGATGCAGCCCTTCTGTATGATCAGATGTGTGATGCTAGTGTCTTTTACACAGAGGGATTAAAGTTCTTCTGTTGTGTCAGGCATATCAAGTCTTGAGGTTTTGGTTTTAGTTTAGTTCACCATTGTCACTGTTTTTAAACATCCGAGCTGGTCTAAAACAGAACTTAGAGTCTTCATGCCATGATATTTTAATAAAGAAAATTTCTCCAGTCCAATAATCCAATCCATCTAATTAATGGATTATGGGAACAATTATTGAATCTGCTTTGTATCTCTGTATGCCAGAGTTTTTTCTGAAGGATTTTTGATACATGTGGCACCCTGAATGAATCTAGCAATACATGCGGATGGTGGCCTAAATTTTGCCCTTTATTACTAAATATATTTTAAACTTCTGGTTGTAACTTGACCTCTAGTGGGCTGCATTGGTATAACAAGTCCTTTCAGCTCTGTTTTGTTTTGGAATAAAACCACATATAAAGCTTGAACCAATTATTATGATTTCATTAATATTAGATTTAATGGGTGAGTTTAGCTTGCTAATTGCTTGTAATGTATCTCTGCTGGTGCCTTCATATACACAGAAAGCCCTCCTAGACCATCTGGTTATCCTATTTAACGAGTGTTAGGTGACCAAGTCACTATTCATTGTCAAACATGTCTGCTTCTAACTGCTGTCTGACTGCCTGCTTTTCAGATTCAGTTAAACCTCTATCAGTCTCGACTGCCACCTAGCCATAGGGTAGATATTTGTGCTCTTTCCTTTAGTCTCTGTGTGGTTTAATTTTTATTTTAATTCAGCTTCCTTCTGCACTAACATCTGTGTAGCTACATCTATATTTTCACTAGTGAGCTAGGTAAAGGCTCCTGTACCAGAGTTTTGATCAGGTCCGGTGATACCAAATACATCAGGCATTCAATGTTTTTAATTTTTATTTTAATTCAGCTTCCTTCTGCACTAACATCTGTGTAGCTACATCTATATTTTCACTAGTGAGCTAGGTTCCTGTACCAGAGGTTTGATCAGGTCAGGTGATACCAAACACATCAGGCATTCAATGTCTGGGGCTTTGTTTCTTAATTTTGTGCTATTTGTTGCTTGTGTTTGTACTGTGTTTGAGAAAATATACATAATAGAGTTGGCATGCCCTGTTTTAAACTAGACTCTTAATTAAAGGCCTAAAAATAGCAGTTTTAATAATGTAGAGAAGAGTAGCTCTTCACCATGGGGCAAGAGAACAAACATTGCAGATAAGTATGTCCTCAACTATCCAAGCATGTGGTGCTTTTCATGATTTTGTGCTTTTCTCTACATAATATTCAATAAGTATTTTTTGGCTCATTTTAAGCAAACACTTGCTAACTATGCCATAGAAGCTGAAAAGTTGGCAACAAAAATATTGAAAAGGAATGCTATCTGAAGAGCCTGTTCTGAAGTTAGGTTGAAAACTAGTGAGCAGCAGCACTAAAAATATATCTGCTAGAGCAAATAGGGAAGATTGCACTACTATTTAAGTCCCGGAAGACGTGTTCATCAGGGTATATTTAAACACACATCCTCCCTGCACTAAATTTAACTGATTGCAGAATGTAATGGCAAGGAATGTCAAGAAAAGTGTAATGAAAACCTGCCCTGTTACTCATTGTTGCAGTATTTTCATGGCTGGTATCTGTAAAGTAACATGCCATCTTAGGGTTTATGAGGGTATTGTAATGACATTAATAACTTGCATAATTTAAATAATTGTGAAAGAATAACCAAATAATTCAAAAGCTAGAAATCTTGCTTTCTGAATCACTTAGCTTCTCTGTGGCAGTCAATTGGGTGAGAACATGCTAACCTGGGAAATTCAGTAGAGAAGTGGAAGGAAAGTAAGAAGTTAAAATTATCAGCAGTGCTTATGTTTGAAGCAGGTCTACTGTATGAGCTGGTAGGTGAGAAAGCCTAAACTTGCTTGACTACAGAATGAGCTTTGTTTACTATGAATCTTCATATATTGGACAGAGATCTGAAGTATAAATAAGGGCTTTACTCTTCCAGTGTAAATTGCAACGAGTTTATGCAGTTACCATCTCCAATTCAGAGAAACTGGAGAAATGAACATCACTGCAAAGGGATGCTGAACAAACAAGATATACTGCTTCAGACTCATATGGAGAACTGTTAAAATTGGACAAGCACTGAGATGAATCTCCTGGCTGAAAAAAATCACAAAATTCCCTGTTCCTGGGAAAGATGACGGATCATTTACAAATCACAGATGTAGGGCATTCTGTAAAAAACCAGCAAGCAGCCAGGAGGAGGTGAAAGAGAAGCTTTAGAATGGAGTTTGGTGATGCAGCAGGCAACTCTTAACACCTCTAGTGTTATTTTGATGGCATTTAAAAATGTGTTAGCAGGTGGTGGTCCTAACTTAGGCATGAAAGGGGATGCTGCCAGAGAAGCATCAGATGTAGCAGGCCATGGAGAAAAACAGTATTAACACCTTGCTCTTCACAGATCTCATCATGTTGGTAGTGAATGCAATGATTATGTGATCTAGAGAATTGAGCCCAGGCAGAGGAGGACACTCACAATTCAGTGTGCTTATACTCCTTAGCAAAAAAAAAAAAAAAAGAAAAAAGAAAAAAAATGCTTCTATTTTTTTTCCTCTGAAAAGAAATCCTTCCATCTCAGGCATTAATAGAACCTTTTTCAACTTGATCTAATCAAACCAGTCATAAATTAAATAGAAGCATAGAAAATCACTTTCAGAAGGAAAACAAATGGGATAAATAAAATGGAAATTTTCTGGAGATGGTGACCTTCAACACCTCTGTGTGTTAGCTCTCATGCACACACATTTTTCATCCTCATAGGGATTCTTTTCTGTGAGAGCAAAAATTGCTGCTCATTAGTGCACCAGCTGAGCAGAAAGTTATCCTGCATAGTCTTAAGCCTCATGTTCTCATTAGAGAGAGATTGCAGATGATTTATGGCTGACAGATTTATTCCTGTGCTGAACTTGTTTGTTAAACAAATCTATTTGTTCACAGCTTAGTGTAGTATGTTTTAAATGCAGTGCTGGCAGCTAAAAGTGCAGGACTTGCATTTGGCAGGTGTTTAGAAACCCAGCCCTTTTCTCATACTATTTGTACATCACAGGCTTTCAAAAAACAAATGAGGAGAGACAGATGGCAGAGTGGGTCACCCAAGGCTCAGATTTTTTAGCCCTTGCCTTTGTAACTGTCTTAAAGTATGGCTGGGTAGAGCTAAGGCAATCCACGAAAAAAGACAGTTTGATGAGAGGAAGAATTTGCAGGGAGACTCACAGGTGGAAGGCAGAGGCACACAAACTTCAGGCACTTCCACTAAGGAGTTTCCCCTGCAGAGATGGGACTGGGCAGGCAGATGCAGGCACAGAGGCACCACGGGAGGGCATGGGAAGTGCTACCACACTGTTCCCTTCAGGGCTGAAATTGCTCTTGCTCGGTGAGAGAGGTAAAAGCTTCTCTTCTGAGTATCTATCTGATGGGTCAATCAGTTCATCCTGCCTGTGCCACTGTAGGAAACGAGACTTTCATGTAAGATAAATGAAATACAAAATATAGATTTTAAATTAGCAATATAATTATTTTGTGGCTTGAGCTCAGTTTCAAACCTGGAGAGATTTAGGAGAGGTTTAGTTTTGAGATTTATGCAACTAACTTTGAAATGGATTGCAATTTCATTGCACAGTAAGCTTATTTTATATGTAATGTTGTCTCATTGTTGAGAAGCAGGAGAGGGAAGGAAATTAGCATTTACATTTTGTAAGCAAGGCAAGGGGGTTGATGCAGATAGAGGAAGCTGTTCTGAAGGGATCTGAAGAAAAAAAGAATATTTGATTTCATGCCAAGAAATTATCTACAGAACTTGGATTTCACATGAAATTCCCCTAACTACTGAATTGAACTGTCTCTAGGTCATGGCCCATGAGCTGTTCTCCAGCTTTAGTCTCAGATTCCTTGGATAATAAATGGTGACCAGACACCAGGGAGAAGCTGTCTCCTGTTCTGTCGGGGAAGATACTTGCATGCAAGGACAAAGTGCTAA